AAGCCAAGACACCAGGTTGGTCCATAGAAATACATAAAAAGGCCTTTTTCCAGCCTGGCATGAGGTTTCTCCCAAAGAGCAGAAGTGGTGGCTGCTCTGCTGGCTGTCCTGACCCCCCATACCCTTCTCCTGACTTGTTCCAGCTCCATTTAATGGGATCGGACGAGCTAATCCCCCATGTCTCCTCGCAGCCCTATCAGAGGGGATTTCTGCACAGGGGCTGGAGGGAAGGAAATCCATCATGCCAGCAACTGCCTGCCCTCACCCAGCCCCACTGGCTTCTGCTGGAGGCTGGATCAACCCTTTCCCTCTCTCCATTGTGGGGCTTGGTGTGGTTCTTGCAGGGAGCTGGTCCATGGCTAAAGCTGCACCATCCAAACACCAGCTCAGTGGGGAGACCCATGGGCAGCGAGGGCTGCAGCACATGTGGACATTTCAGCATTAAATGACAACCTTGTTTTCTGTTGTGTTTTTCTAAGAGACTGCATGCCTGACCAGACTGCATTTCTTGGTCTGCATCCCATATTTATCCTGTAATTACACCTTTGGACAAAGGCTGCCTGTCTGTGAGGCCCATTTTTTTCAGGACACAGTTTTATTCTATGCTCTGCTTTCACAGTAATGAAATCTTGGGGGGCAAGGGGAAGAAAACTCCCCACATTGGGAGTGAAAGCTGTTCTTTCTCAAAAGCTGCCCCAAGAGCAAAGGAGCTCGCTCAAGCCCTCTCCCTTTTCCCAAAGAAACCCTAGCCACTGACATCCTTTATGTTTCTCTACCACCCCACAAGGATTAATGCCACAAACCATGTTATCCCGTAAAAGAAAGTTACCACCACACTGTCAATCTCTGGGTTCTGCAGCTGCAGGAGCCAGAGAATTTCCAAGGAGATCCCTTCAATCCTTATAGCCAGGCAGCTGACATGAATAAAGTTGATAAAACTTCTTGTTGGCATCTTCCTGGATCACAGCACAGTGAGGGATGAATTCCCACAAAATGGCATTCTGTAAAATTCCCAATGTCTGCTGTATGCTTGTCTCTGGAGGGGTAGGAAAGATCTGCATGGCACAAAACCCAAAGGCAGTTGCAGGAGCTATCTGAGCTGGGGTTTCCTCCAAGGGGAAGGACAGCTCTGCTCAGTCCCTGGCCATCCCATGCCAGGAGCTGACATGAGCCTGGCCACCCCCATTTCCCAAAAACTTGCCTTGGGATGAGCTCCAATTTGTAGGTGTTGATGGCAGGTGAGGTGAAGCCTGTCACCACAGCACACTGAGCCTGGCAAAAACTCCTCCTGCTGTATTGTGCAAGAAAAGAGAAGCTGGGGAGCACCTTGGCACAGAGCACGCTGTGATCCCAGGAAAAAGGAGAACACCATTGTGGCACAGTCCTGGGGTGGAGTGGAGGAAGATCCCAGCTCCCCATGGCTCTTCTCATGGATAAAAAAAATCAACATAATTACAGAGACCATTGCATTTCACCCTTGGGGTTTTCCCACCCTTTTCTGGCTGGGATCTGTGACCAATTTATGGGCTGGCATGTACAGAGACACTGCCTATAAATAAATGTGACTGGTCCAGCCTGACCAAAATAGGGAGATTTTGGTGCTGTCATCCATGGGAAGCAGCTTGTCTTCTCAAGCCACTGAAAAACCAGATATGAAAAATGAGGTTTGTCAGGGAGAGAATAAATATAAGTGGGACCTTGTTGATTTCTGCTAAAAGTAGATTTTTATGTATAAGGTGTAAAATAGCCAGTGTGGATGTTTAAAAGCAGCCAGGAACTGTCTGAATTGATTTTTCCAGGTGATTTTTTGCCCTGAACTGACACAATTCCACCTTGGCAGAAGCAGAGCTCCCTGAGGCATGTGGGGGCAACCAGCTCACCCAGGCAAAATGGGGAGCTGTGGGGCAAGGATGGGCCAGGCAGTTTGTCCAGAGCAATCCCTCATCCCTGGGAGACTCAAAATCCTCCTCTCCCCAAAGCAAAGCTTCCAGGGGCACAGCCAGAGAGCTGCAGCCACACTGGTGCCACTGGGGCTGTCACAGGACGATGTGCAGGACATGTCTGTGGGCAGAGGGAATGTGGTATGTGAGGCTGCTGATACAGGAGAGGATTTGGGGTTTTGCAGAGATGGCTGTGAGCCAGAAACAGTCTCCAGCAGCTCAGGTTTGGCAGGGGAGGAAGGGGCCTTCAGCCTGGCCTAGGTGGGAGAACTGCTCTCTAAAGGAAGGGGAAGGGAGGAAAGTTATCCCTCTTCCAGCCTGTCTGGGCTGTTGCAAAGTTAGGGAGGCCAAACTGCCCTGATGATCAGGGAGGGCAGAACAAAGATGCAGAGGCTTACAGGGATTTGGGCCAGGGCAGAGCAGGGTTACTGGTGACATCCTAAAGTGTCCCCACGCAGCACTGTTGTACCCATCTGTGGATTAATCATCCTCAGAGGGATGTCTCTCAGCTCTGGATGATGCTGAATTACACCTCATGAGGAGAGGACTCACAGACTGGTACGTACAGCCATTCTGCCTGTCTCAGAGTGGCAAACTGGGGCAAGACCAACTCACAGAGCCCCTTCCCTACACCTCCACCTTCCCACTGGACCTCTACCAACCCACAGGGAGCATTTGGTCCATGGGGCAGCAGCGAGGAAAAGTCCAGGGAGCCTGGAAAAAGGCAGGGCAGGCCAATCCCCAGGCCTGCCCACCTGCCTCTGCCCCACCGACCACCAGCAGCCTCGAAGAAAACCCGTCTCTGAGGCTGATGAGCTTTCACCACCTGCCTGCAGGCTGCTGGAGAAATATCATAAAAAAAAAATATCCCACCTGCCAAACCTGAGCCCTCACCTGCATACAGCTTTGGACATTCCGAATTTCTTCCTGTTTGCCTGGGGTTGGATGGGGGGTTTTCACAAAGGCTCCTTCTACCCTCCCCTCTTTGCTCTAGGAACTCTTTTTGTCAGTGATGTTTTCTTGCTTGTTGCTGCATCTCCATCTCACTGGCCCAGAAGATTTTTCCCCCCTTTTTTTGAAAGGTTGCCTGATGTTCTGTTGTCCAACTGGGTTCACCTGAAGGTAGCCCTGGAGGGGGAAAACATCAGTTGACAGGGGAAATTAACTCCTGGAGTACTCCTGGAGTAATGGATTGCTCCCAGTAGTGGATATGTGCTGTAAAAATGCCTGGCATGAAAAGCCCAAAACTGCCTCTGGAAAAAGACAGAGCTGGACATAAAGGTGCAGAGGAAGGGGGACAGGGAAGCAGCAACTCATCCTCAGCATCCTCATCTGCTAGGAATGGGCCTTCGATGCAGCTTTGCTCCAGCAAGATGGAACACCAAGGAAGTTATACAGGTAAGGACAGACCTGGCCCAACTGGAATGGCTTCACACACGGGGGGTGCCAAGCAAGCCTGGTCATGTAATTTGAGGGAAGAGCTTAAACCAGATTTAAATTGCAGAGTTCATCTCTTTAGAAATGGAGGCAGGTTTTGGATTTTCACAATTTTTGCACTGAATTGTGCTTTCCCAAAGCCAGCCATTGCCAGGCTCTTCCAGCAGCCTCCTCACAGAGGTACCATGCCAGTACCAGGAGAAAAGACAGGGAGCAGACCTGGAGCACTGTTACTCTGGGGACATTTCCCAGCCTCTGGACATTCATAGCTCCTGGATCTCCTGGCCACGACACATGCTTCTCTGTTTAGCAGCTCTGAAGGTTTATATTGCACAGATTAATTAAAATTTTCTCCTTTTGAAAACTTCAGCATTTCCAGCTGAGTCCTATGTAACAAACAGCACCAACCTGCCCTGGGTGTATTTCAGTGGAGCCATGGCCTTTCCCATCAAGGGCCTTCTCCATTCCAGTTTTATTTTTGGCTGTTCCATCCCTCCCCTCCCCTCCTAGCTCTCTTCCAGCCTGAAGACCGTGGGGTGCAGGACCGTCTCCCCACTCCTTTGGATCCCTTTGTTCCCCAGTGCCCGAGCCCCTCCTGTGGCCGAGGCGAGGATGCGCTGGACTTGGACACCGTGTCCCTGTGTCCCACGGCCGAGCTGGCTGCACCCTCTGGCGGCAATCCTGACTCCAGGCCCTGCTTTTCCAGGAAATTCGCTTCCTCGCCTCCCACCCACGAGGCTGCAGGGGGTTTTGCTGGGAGGGGGTTTTGGCACGGAGCTGTGTTTCGCTGGGGGAGGGCTGAGGAGCAGGGGGGTGTGGGGGCAGCTCTGCCAGCTCACAGCACCGCAGTGTGTGCAGCAGCTATTTTTATCCACGGGGACAGCAGATATATTTATCCAGAATGCCACAGGAGCCGAAAAGTCTTCGGGGCGACTTCCGTGCTACGGAAGAACACGATCTGCATGTCCTTTATGCTCTCAGCCTTCTCCAGAGCCCTTTGCTGCCTCCTCAGCCCTTCCCTCTTTATGTCCCACCGTCTCCACCGTGGTGATGCTGAGCTCGTGTCCCTGCCCGTGGTGGGGAGGTTGGAACCAGATGGTCTCTAAGGTCCCATCCTACCCAAACCATTCCGAGATTTTGTGATCCTCCCTCTTGCACAGCCAGCTCTTGGCTCCCTTCCCTGCTCCGCTCAGAGCAAATATGTGTTTTCTGTGTTTAAGTTGAACCCGTACAGAAGGGGTGATTAGACATTGGGATGGACTGCTCAGAGAGCTGGTGGATTCAGCATTCCTGGAGGTGTTTAAGGGAAGACTGAGTACCATGGTGCTGGTTTGCTCAAAAGTTGGATTCGATTATCTCAAAGGGCTTTTCCTAATTAATTTCGTAATTCTATAATCTTAATTTCCCTCTCCAAGGCGTTGTTCCTTCGGCTGGAGCGAGCCATTCTCCGCCGCATTACTCACCCAGCCCGGTCCCTCATTAAACACTCGGTGCCCTTCTCTCGGAGGGAGGATGTTTGCAATGCGAAGCGCTCTGCTCGCCCGGCAGGAGCCACTCCCTGCCCGCCGGGCTCAGCTCCGAGGAGCCCGGCTCCGCCCGCAGCCCCGCCCGGGAGGGCCGGGCCAGCCCCGGCACGGCCCCGCTCGCCATGGGCTCCCGCCTGTCCCTGGACGACTCCGTGCGGGTCCTGGTGGTCGGGGGCGGCTTCGGAGGGACGGCAGCCGCCAGCCTGCTCAAGTCCTGGGCCGTCCCTTTCGTGCTGGTGGACGTGAGAGATGCTTTCCATCACAACGTGGGCGCCCTCCGGGCCGCCGTGGAGAGCGGTAAGGGCTCGGGCAGCTCCCCCGTCCCACCGGGATCTGCGGAGGGAGGCGGGGAACGGGGTGCTCGTACTGCCTCCTCCGCCCTGCGATGGTGAAAAACTTGATGTTTTCCATCTGGAAAACAAATACTTGGCACCGGGAGGACGCGCAGCCCGTCCGTGGTTAAGCTAATTGCACATCCGCTGGGAAAACTGAGCAAAAACTGCTCAGACCATCCCTCCTTCGCCCCTCTCTTTCTAAAATTTTTTATTTCAAGAGTTTGGAAGGTGACTAAGCTAAAAGCAACAGCAGGAAGGGATGAGTCAATCACTTTCTGTGCCTGGCCCTTGAAACGTGGAACAGCTGAGCAGTGAGGCCCTGGATGATAAAACCCTGTCAGAGAGCTGCTCAACCCCCAGTTGGAGGCTGGGCCAACCCCATCAGTCCAGTCACTGGGGGATTTAGGGGTAAAATATCACATTGGAAGCTGGGAACGAGCAAAAAGGGTAGCAAAAGTTTGCTCTGAGAGGCAGATTACATGAAAAAAGCCTCTGACACCCAGCCTGAAATTGCCAGGCCCACAGAAGCAGTGATTGGTAAACCAGTACAGGAGATACAGGAGCAGAGACAAAGGCATCTAAGCCAAGCTTGTCATCTGATCTGAGGCAAAGGTCCTGAAGCTCGATGCTGGGCAGAGATAACACCCAGAAAAAGCCCAGCCCATGGTCCCAGATGCATGCCGTGCTTTTGTCTGAGCAGGGATAGCATGAGGGGAGGAGGGGGTTGTCAGCCTCCCCAGGAGAGCTTTCCCATTGTCTCCTCTTCCCACAGGATTTGCCAAGAAGACTTTCATCTCCTACTCAGCCACCTTTGGGGACAGCTTCCGACAAGGCAAGGTCGTGGACATAGACCCTGGGAGGCAACGAGTTGTGCTCAGTGATGGTGAGGTGGGTGTTGCAATGACCTGGCTGCCTCATGGGATCACCTGCTAGTGCCGGGAGCCAGCCTTCAGCAGGGTGTGTTCCATCCTCCTGAAGAATTTGGCATCTTTCTCTGCACAGCCCCATTCCTTCAGCCAAGCTAAGTGGCCTTGAGCTGTGCTGGGATGTGGGTGTGCAGTAAATAATACCCAACCCCATCTCCTGCTCAGTTGAGCTTTTATTCTTAGAGCTGGATTTAGAGCTCAACAATTAAACCTGGGGCTCAGCTCCTTATTTAACTGCAGCAGCATCAATCACTCTTTTCAGCCAGAGCATCTCACCTTCGTTCAGGAGAGAAGTTAGTCTCTGGAACCAGCTGTGAGTGTCCAGTATAAATATCAGCTTATTCCCTGTAAATTTAGGGTCAATTCTTTAAAGCTCTCACCTGAATGGTGCTTGGTGTGACCTGGACCAGGTCTCTTCCTAAAGTCACTTCCTGACAGTGACAAGTACTTTTCTTGGTTACCAGCAAGGGATGGAGGTGAGGGAACGAGTGACAAATACTTAGGAGGCAACCACTGTGTTCTAGGCTATGTTTTTAAGAGGTCTAATATCCCATTCTACCTTCTGCCTTCCCAGGAGCTTCACTACTCCCATCTCATTCTTGCAACAGGCAGTGATGGGCCATTCCCTGGGAAGTTCAACCAAGTCATTGACATGGAAAGAGCCATCCAGACCTATGAAGACATGGTCAAAGAGGTGAGGAATCAACTCTTAGGAAGTGCTGCCTGCCTTTGTTCAGCCTCCCTGTCCCAGATACCACTGTGGCTGTCTGGAGCCAGCTGTGTCTAAGAGAGAGAGAGACACAGCCAGGACAAAGGAGCTCATCATGGCTTCTCTAGCACAAGGGGAAACCTGAAATGCTCAACAGTGTTACAGGGCAGGCAGGGAGAGTGCACAGGGCACTCCTTTCTTGTTGCCTCTTAATGAGCTAGGAGGTTTATTGCTGTTGGGCCTGTGCTGTGTCCCAGAACATCCATGGAGTGACTGAAGGTATCTGGCTTCCTGCCCTTTGCATTTCTCCTGTAACACAAATTTTCTCTTGAAGATTGAGAAATCTCAGCGCATCCTGGTAGTGGGAGGTGGTGCTGCTGGAGTGGAGATGGCTGCCGAGATCAAAACGGAGTACCCGGACAAAGAGGTAGGAGCATCTTCAGCACAATGAACTTCATCCTGGTTTCCAGACTGTTCTGTGGTGGTGCTGCTGGAGGTACCTGAGGTGACTGCACATCTGGTTGCCAAGCCTGTAGCCAGCCACCAGCAAGGACTGTGGCACGAGGTGCCCCTTCCTGGTTGTTCTTGCAGGCATCAATTAGGGTGGAGGAAGGCCAGCTATAGCTGTTCCCACCTTGCATGCAATGAGTCCTGCTCTGTTCCCGTGCCCCCATTTGCTGTTTTGTCCCCAACAGGTCATCCTCATTCACTCAAAAACTGCACTGGCTGACGTGGAGCTGCTAGCCAGTGTCCGTCAGGAGGTGAAAGAGATTCTCCTCAGGAAAGGAGTCCGGCTGCTGTTAAGTATGTCCTTAATGATGCCTCTGAACACCCACAAGCTGCTCTTCCTTAGCCAAAGCATCTCCCGATGTCCTCTTTCTGACCTTTTTGGTTACACGTGGCTCTCTTGAATTCCTGAGCTGGAAACCACAGCCTAGCAAAGGTTGGTGACCCAGGGCTCTCTGTTGCAACAGGTGAAAAGGTCAGTGACGTGGAAAACCTCAGGCCAAACCAGTTCCAGAAAGACATGGTAGTAAGGACCGAGAAGGGCACCGAGGTGGTTGTTGACATGGTGGTGCTGTGCACAGGGATAAAGATTAACTCCTCTGCATATGCTGCTGCATTTGGTAAGTGAAAAAAACCCAAACTATGGGCTGGGGAGAGGCAACACGGCTCTTCAGTGTCTGGTGCCCGAGGGGTGTGAGGTGGGGAATTGACTGTGTACAACCTGCGGGGGTGATTCTACTGAAACACCAAAGGATGATGCATTGCGCGAGGCTGCAGTGATTAACTACATCAAGGCAAAAAGCATCTCTCCCCTGACACAGAGAAAAACAACCCCTCACTTTGTGTTAATTACATCAGCAGCATTTGGGGGCACAAAGCACAGGCAACACAAAGCTGCTTCTAAAAACCTGCTGTTTGGCAAAACAGGTGACAAAATGGCAAGTAATGGTGCTTTGAGAGTTAACAAGCACCTCCAGCTGGAAGGCTACGAGAACATCTATGCCATTGGGGACTGTGCAGATCTCAAAGAGCCCAAGATGGCCTACCATGCTGGGCTCCATGCCAACATTGTGGTGACAAATATCATCAACAGCCTGACACAGAAGCCTCTCAAAAGCTACGAGCCAGGTAAGGTCAGCTCCTAGCACCTGGCCTGAGGTGTTGGGCTGCTTTTCTGCAAGGAATGGCTGTCTTAACACTCGTGGGACTCTGAACTCACTGAATTCACTGTGAAGGAACTTACAGTTGGGGTTGTGTCAGCTTATAGCTTAGGCTTCATATTAGTCCTTGCCAAAGACACGGTGTAGATAGTAATTATCTGTGTCAGTCTGCCACACAATGTGTCCTTTCTTCAGTGTCTTGATAAATCTACTGGTGGGAGTCTGCTATTCATCAAACTTATTTTCTTTTCTCAAAATTGCTCACTGTCCAGTTAAATCTCGGGAATAGGGCGACTTTCCTTTTCCTTCTTCCTCACCTTAAGCTACAACAAACACAAACTGAGCAATCTGATCTCAAAAATCTAACTGGGTAATGGGTCTTCTTCTTAAGTAAACACTTACCAGAACTACGCTGAAAGCTGTTCCACACTGGATGCAGGGGAGCTGGATAAGAGTTGCTTCACTTACACCTCTACATCTTCTTTGCAGGGTCACTAACATTCCTGCTTTCCATGGGCAGGAATGATGGTGTAGGCCAGGTGAGTGGTTACTATGTGGGACGTCTCCTGGTGACCATTGCCAAGAGCCGGGATCTGTTCGTCTCCAAGAGCTGGAAGACGATGGGACAGACAATGCCCTCTTAAGAGGGCACAGGTAACAATCCAGCAGGGATACAACAACTGGAACAGGGTGAGGGTGCACTGATATTGCTTGGACTGACTGATATTGTCCTCTGCAGCACCTCCTCAAGCCAGCTGTCACTGTGACACGTAAAAGGGGTGCCTGCCTTGCTGTGGAGGGGAAGGAGTCACTTCCCAAATGAACTGCACACAAGTTGCCATGCTAAAAAACAGGGAAGAAAGGTTACTTTTATTTCCCCTGCTGAGAGAGCTCTGAGCAACAAGCTTGGCTTACCTTGATTTGTAACACTAAACACTGTGGTTTTCAGAATCTCTGGTTTGTTTGTTATGTGCTGCTTTTTTGGGTTTTTTTTCCCTGGCTTTCTCTATTCTTGCTCTTCTAAGAAGAACCTGCTTCTTACAAATCTGGCATCTGCTCTGCAGCTTGCAGGGAGAATGGCTTGTAGTGCTGCCAGGGTAATGCCTGTCTAAAACCTGGAAGTGGATATGGTAGACCTGGAATTCAACAGAATATAATGCAGCTTTGTGTCAAAATCTCCTCAGCAGCTTTAATTACATCACTTACAGCACCAAACTTCAGCCAGAAAAGCTATTGGTTGTGATACAGCAAGCACTTAATTATAGATGCTGCTGCTTTTATTTTTTCTTCTCTTTTCCTTCTTAATTTTTTTCTTTTTAGATTGTGAGAAATCCCCAGAGAAAAATTAGGGTTTATAATAATAACCACACTTGACACATCTTTTTCTTTTTTTCTTATAAAACAAACAAAATCACCATGAAATATTCTTAGTAATTACAGAGGTTATTGTGAGTTAAAAGCAAAACAGAAGCTCCTCATGCATCACTTCTAAAACCCTTTTCACCTCTCTGTGGGCTGAAGTTTACCATCTACCCTCAAGGGAGGGGAAAAAGGAGCAGGATATTTTTAAGAGCTTTCTTGAAAGTGGTGTGTGTGTGTGTGTGTGTGTGTGTGTGTGAAGAAATCATCACTACAAATCTAAAATGAGGTTACTCTTTAAAAACTCCTAAACTAAAGTAACAAAGGACACTAAACTCCTGAAGCCAGATGGTAACTCAATTGCTTAATAAATGTGATAAAAATGGCATGAAAAAATTGGACTAAACCCCTCTCATCTCTAATCACAGCTCTCCATCAAGTCACAACACGTCACACTACTACCACTCCCCCTCATCGTCACATTGAAAAAATAAAACCCACCTCTAATGCTTTTAATGCTACTCAAGTTTGTTGAAAAATAAAGTTTCATTTGGCTGCTGTTGCTACTTAGTGTCTAGCTTGGCCATTTCTTGCACGTAGATGCCAATGCTTTCACTGTCGAAGAGCAGAAAGTAAATGTTCTTCAAGGAGGAAGAGCTGGTGCCGTCAAAATGGGTGGAAATTGCTCTGAGGGTCACCTGGGCTGCCGTCTGTTTTGGGAAGCAGTTTCTGTGTGGTCAGGGAAGAAAAGAGAGCAGGTGAGTGTTGGGCAGTGATGCTGAGAGAAACCAGACAGAGCTGTTCCAGGCACAGGCTGCTAAGGTAGTGCCAGCTGCAGTTTGGCAAACCCTGAGGTTTTGATAGCAATGTTCACCTGCTGCTGAATTAAGTTTCCTTGCTGGCATAGCTGCTGTTTTCATCTGCTTCTACTTCTTATGACTAAACAAATTATTTTAATGCTTGCCCTTAGAATTAAACTTTTCCATGCCATGCTGGGCAGGCAAAAATTTCAAAGGATGATTATTTTTTATAACTGAAAACTGGAAAAAGCCCAAACCCAAAACATCACCTACTTAGCTGACTTCCTCGCTCTGTCATTAAAATACTTTGCTTGGGATTCCTGTGAAAATAATTTAAGTTACAACTCCAAGCCAAATTAAGGTTGAGATGCATTCATTCACTCCTCTTGATGGCAATATTCTTTAACCTACAATCATATTTAAATTGAAAATGATCAAAAAGATCTGGCACAAGTGAAGTATCCCATCTATAGCAATGTTACATCAGTTACTGTAAATAGTCCCTAAGATGGGACAGAGGAAAACGAAAATTCACGGAACTGATACAGTGTAAGTCTTTATCTACCCACAAAAGCAGCATTTCATGTGCAGACATGTAGGTAGAATAAAATGACAGCAAACCCAGCAAGTCCTATTTGAAAAATGGCCTTTTTTCAGGAAATTTTGAGGTCCTTTGATAAATGAAGTGTAAACCAGCAGCACCTGGTAAAACTATTTCTGTTAGGAGGAGTAAGAGGAACAGAGTGAAATGGAACAAAGCAGCAGAAGGATCTGCACTAAGACTAATGGTGCAAGAATGGATTATTCTGATTCTATGCTCTTAGAAGATCTGAAGTCTAGAAACTGGTTCTATTGGCATTAAAAGCTATAGTTAATTTTTATATTAAGCACTGTTTAAACAATGTATCACATTTTGCTTTGACTGAAAACCATAAACAAAAAGATCTGTATATTAAATAAAAAGACTGAAAATTGCACTGCCCTTCTATTTATTCTTTTGTCCTGATCCATAAAATTATATTTTGCTTTGAAGTGTATCTGTGTAAAAATGGCATTTTCACCTCCTGTGTATTCAGTGATGTGTGGTGATTTCACTGATCAAATGCAGTTTTATTTTCAATTTATTCACTGTCAGGCCAACACAACTGGACTGGACTGTGTGCTCCTTTCTTTGGGCACTATTACCAAAATCAGTGGATACATTTCAAAATAAAGGAACGTGAGCTCTAACACAAAATAACAGCTACTGCAGTTAGCAGGGCTTGTGTGAGATTTTTTGTCATCAGAGACCAACAAACTGTTGATTTAAAAAGAGATTTAAAGGAAAAAAAAAAAAGAAAAATATAAATACTGCAGATTTCTTAGTCAAGCACATTGTACTTGCTAGTTATTGAGAAACAAATGTCTGGCTTCACACTTGGTTTAACATTTTTCCCTTTTGAAAGCAGAACTACATTTGAGAAAGAGATTTTCTTCTGAAAGAGAAGTTTTGTGGGACAAGTCTTTTAAATACCTGTTATCAGGAGAGCTTAAGTGAACACCCCACATCCATGTATCTCAGGTGGCATCACTGCTACCTGCCCTCAGTATCATGCTGGTATAATCTGATTAGTACAAATGCAGGTTTAATAAGACTCCCCACAGCAAAATGAAGGGACACAAAACCCAAGGTGGTGCAGAAGAAAGAAAATGACTGCCTAGCAATAGAAAACACAGCAAGCCCACTCAGCTCTCCTGTGGGCTGGCTAATTTCTCTTTACAAAAGCTCTCTGGCAGTTTCCTGCAAACACTGCACTTCAGGCTGGATTCCTCTGGAGCAGCTCTGTCAGATGGCAGCAGCAGAGGCAGGGTCACAGAGCAGAGGGCGCCTCTCTGTCACAGCAGCAGCTCTGAGAGCCAATTCCAGCCCTGCTACCTGACACAGGGAGTCCTACCTGCCGCTGGGAAACGGGGGGAAAGCCACAGACTTCAACTTCTTGTCTTCTGCAGCTGTTAAGCAGTTCTTGACAGTCTCCTCGAGCTGCTCTTCACACTTGTCCGAGCCCCACTGTGGGATGTGACAGTGGATGACAAACTTTGCTGCTAGGCCGCTAGACTGAGTGAGTGCAGCTAACACAAATGAAAATATAACATTTAGTTTGGAACAGAAACCGCCCTGCAATGACCTCTCAACCCAATGTACCTTCTTAATTACATCACCTCTCCAAAGAAATACATTTGGGATTAAAATTACACCGCAACGGCTCACTTGCAATCATAACCTGTCTCATCATTCCTTTTGTGATCAATTTTTATTTCTTTGGAGACCAAAGAACCCAGGGCTCATTTGGTTAGACTCAATAATGGTTTTTAGCTCTCTCATTCAGCACGGTCTCCGAGCTTGTTTTATGCAAAGTACAAAAACCTCACCCTAAACACAGTATCAGTTATCCCCAGAGACATTTCTGCAGTGCTGTCACGGAGCGCTTTGCACAAATACCCTACATCATCATCCTCATAATCACCATCATCTTTATAACTTCAGAGTGCTGGGGAGTAATATTTTGACCCACTCCACAGCTGGGTAATTTCAGACAAGGACATGAAAATCAAAGTTGTTTGTTAAAAGTCCCCACCGCTTATGTCCAGTTAGGAATCTCAGGTTAATTTTTCAGAAAGTGTAATATCTCTCCTGCAGAGTTTACAGCATGGCATCAGTTTGCTTTGGTTGCAATTGTCACCATCAGCACTACTGAAAGTCTGAATTGTCTTGGTAATCTCAGGTTAAACACTCTGAAAGTAGCTGTGCAGGATGGAATTAGCCCAAGGATGAAAATCCTGGATGTATTCAGTTGTTCTCCATCACAGGGGAATTCTGTTGCAAGGAATTCTGTGCTACTTAAATTTTAACCAGCTGTCTTAATAGTAAAAAAGGAGTCTATCTTCTAGTTAGGTAGTGATGTTGACAGAGAAAAGTAGTTTACTTTGATTTTATGGCATATAAATTTGATTTGATATCAAAGTGAAGAAAATTACCTTGTATAAAAATTTCTCTATTATTTCAGATTATAAAACTAGGCTACTCAATTAGGAATTTTCCAAAACTAGACTATTTAAAGCATTTATTTTTTGGGGGTATAGAGATACTAAGCCAAATAAGACATATTGTAACTTTTCTCCATCTGTCTTCCAGACACCTTCAATTGGTTGAATCTGTCCACAAAGGAAGCACAATCTCAGGTCCCAAACTATTCCCTGCTACAAATGTGTTAACCCTTGAAGGGAGCTCTTCTAATAAAGTAGAATCTGCATTCTAATAATACAGTATCTGAGCAATTGCTCTTCCTAAAAGCGTGCCAGCTCTGCAGCTCATATCACATCCTCATTTGTGTTCAAAGTAAAGTAATTATTTGGGTTATATACATTCATCAAATATGCATAAAGGAGAATAATTTATGAGGTACCCCTAATGTCTCCTACGCCTCGTATGTTAGACTGAGAGCTGTTTCTGATTCTCACTAAGGCTGCTGTACAAACAGGGCAGGAAAGTTTTCCTTAATTTTTGGACTCCCATGGATAGAAATTGCCTAAGACAAATGGATCAGTCTAAAGACAGAATATACACAGCACAAAGGTATCCTGTTCTTCCTTTTCTTCCCCTCTCAGCAGGCTGCCCATATCAGCAACAGCTTTTAGGGAACATTTACATCACATAAGCAAACACACACAACACAGGAACAGATCAGAATGTCCAGAGAAAAGAACATGCAAAATGAGCCATGTCCAAAAGAGAGCAGAGTATCCTTTTTACCTTCAGCAACTTCCAAAGGTCCTTGAGATTTGCGAAGCTCTTTCACTGTTTCCAAAAACTCTTTGCCTCCAGCCTTTTCCAGTGCTTTGCCTGCAAGGACACAGAGCAAAAGGCCTTGGCTTCAGAGTATCAGTGTGGAAAAACAAGTCTACATTACTTAACAGAACTCTGTACACACACTATCCTGTTTCCCTCTATCAGCAGCACCTGATTTTCATGTTTACCACTCTGCCTAGACACAGCTAAAGTTTACTTTTCATGGTTTTGAAGAGCCCTGGACGCTGTTACTGGAAATTACATAAATATAAATATCTGTAAGAATGCTATTTACTTGGACTCATGGCTAAAATAGTGTGGAGTGGGATTTTCAGGACTCAGGCTTTTGGCCTCCAAAATGAACCCAACATACAAACCCTACTACTTACTGAAACAAACACAGCTGGGATGCCAGTGAAGGTCTTGATGACTAAAAAACAATGATCCAAGAGGCTGCTAATAGATTCTGTGCCCCTGTGTGACTGGCTGAATAGCTTTCCACCACCCTCCTGCTTAAATTTCCATATTTGTAATAACAGTATTTCCTTATTTTACATGAGCAGTATTAGGCTTTGTATATGAGTATTTCTAAATTATTTAACATCCTACAATGAAAGTCATAGTTAGAA